ATTCAAAAAAAATGTTCAATACTAATATACAAGAAATTACTACTACCAATAATTACTTATGYATGCCCAATCTGGGGAAACTGTTCAGCTACACACACTTTAAAAAAATCCAAATTTTTCAAAGTAAAGTGTTAAGAATTATTACAAATGCTCCGTGGTTCATTCGTAATGATAATATACATAAAGACCTCCAAATTGTTAAAACTGCAGACTTCATACGCACTTTATCAAGAAATTCCCATAACTCATAACTCATTACTCAACTCAACAGGTTCGCTTCACTACAATCTTCATCATCATAATTCATGGCATAAGTCCGCCAGCACAAGGTGTGGTGTGTGAGAGGCCGCTCTGGATTTTCAATCGTGTTTCCAATGACTGCCTCGCGTAAGTCCGTCAGCACCCGGTGTGGTGTGTGAGAGACCGCCAGGGCCACCCTGTTCATCTTCACCACCTTCAACACGCATCGTACTCATCTTAGTTTTTAATTTATTATAAGTCCCCCTTCTAGTTGTAAGCCCTGCTGCGTCATTGCACCAGACCCGACCAGACCACAGGCCCCCCCCCGCTACCATAGATAACCTGTACCATCCTGTCTCCCGTGTAACTTGGTTCCTGTCCCTTTGTCGTGTAACCGTTGGTCCAGGCGGCCGCCGTCATCGTCGTCTATTAATTATAAATTGTCGAGTAGTGATTTGAGTTGGCTATTCACATCGTTGTTAGGGGGGCATCGGTAGTACGTGAGAGGAGTTGCCTACCCAGTTGAATCGCGAGCGCTGGCCACCTCCGTTTGTGGCAGTTGGTCCCGTTCGGCATCAACTCCAGCTACGTAGTACCTCACCGTACACATATATTATAAAGTAAATGTGTAATATTTTTTTAAAAATAATTTCATTAAATGATGTATTATACTTGTAATATATTATAGTATAAATAATATTAAAAAGTATAAAAAAAAAAATAATAAATCCCAGAGGCTGTATCTGACGGGTAACAGGCTGCGGTGGATCCCTATCCGGATGCATTATTTTACAGACCTCGCGGGCAGCCCGTATCGTGTTTGAATAATAGGATAAATAAGAGGACCCTACACATATATTTTGTATCTCCGTTATACAAATGCGTAACATAACACATTTATAATTAGCAGATCACGTTTAATTCCATTAGTTAAAAAATGAGAGTAAATTGACCTATTATGAAACTTGGTGGTAAGAACATTGTCTGTGTTTGTATGTGGGTTTTCTCTTACGATAACTTAGTTTTTAAGTGAGTTATGAACATTTTTAATTTACGCATAACTTTGCTACGAAATTTAACTATCGTAAAAAACCCACATACAAACACATAATGTTTTTAACATCAAGTTTGACAAGTTTCATAATAGGTTGATTCACTCTAATTTTTAAACTAACGGAACTAAACGTGATCTGCTGAATGTAATTTTTTTATGTTATGCACTTGTAAGAGAAAGACAATAAATAGATGTGTAGCGTCATCTTAATTCTTAATGATGGCACTTTAAGCGGAAAAGGGAGTTAATATTTCACAGTATCAACTTTATTTTTTAAAAATCTTTGTTCAACACCCTTTATTGACCTAAAATGCAGTTGCGCCGGCCCGCTAACGTCTTGTTGTATATGAAATAATGCTGCATATTTTCTTGCTGCAAATACACCGAATTCTAATGAAATAAATTATGTTAAAATTTCAGGAATGTTGAGTTCGTTAGACGACTCTGTTGGAAAAATAATCGAATCACTACACGAAAATGAAATGCTAAAAGATTCTATTGTAGTATTTATGTCCGACAACGGTGCACCGACTGACGATCCGCTATGGGGTCATGATAACTTTGGATCAAATTGGCCTTTGAGAGGAGTGTGATTTATTTTTTGAAACAAAATAATATTTTTTAAATTGGTTATAAAAGWTTTGATATTTTATCATAATTTTAATTAATTTAGAAAAAAGGTTCAGTACATGAAGGAGGAGTTCGTGGAGTGGCTGCAATATGGAGTCCATGGTTGAGAGAAAAATACATTGTTTCTAATAACTTATTCCATATTACTGATTGGTTACCTACTTTATATACAGCAGCAGGTGTTTAAATTTAACTATTTTTATCGACTATTTTACCATGCAAATAATCATATAAAATTTAGCCGTTTAAGATTGATTTTAACCATTATGCTCATTAAATAACTCGATGTCATGACTCATGGATTGTTGTACAAATGAAAGTAGGAAAGTAGGTACATATAGGTAATATAAATCATAGTATATATATTATAATATATATAATCTAATAAATATATTATAATATATATTATAATCTAATATATATCTAATATTTAGTTATGAGCCAGGTATTTTTTACAGTAAGAAATACATTTAAGATATAAGTTCCATATTTAGTTTATTATTTCATGCCTTTAGATCTATACATTTTTATTAATAGAACAAAAAATACCTTGACAAAATTATATAGAAGTATACAACAATATAACATTACAATCCATTACATATGACTTTATGAGATCAATACTTTTTTCTAAAACAAAATAAAATATGTTGGTAGTTATTACAACTTACAAATATATATGAAATTTAAGCAACACTACTTAAATTAATTTACATGATTTTTACATAGTCATAAATCATAACTTGTAATCATTAACATCCATAGTTAATACTAAAGCCAACTTTCTATTTTTTTT